GAGTGGATTGCTTGAGCCCGCAGGTTCAAGACCCACCCGGGCAACTTGGTGAGACCCTGTCTCTACAATAAATCAAAAATTAGCCAGGTGTGGTAGTGCATGCCTGTAGTTCTAGCTACTTGGAAGGGTGAGGTGGAAGGATCGCCGGAGCCCAGCAGGTCAAGGTTGCAGTGGCTGGGAGTGTGCCACTGCACTCCAGCCTGGGCAACGGAGTGAGACTCCAACTCAAAAAAAAAAAAGAGGCTGGGCACAGTGGCTCACACCTGTAATCCCAACATTTTGGGAGGCCAAGGACGGAAGATTGCTTGAGCCCAGGAGTTTCAAACCAACTTAGCCTGTGCAACATAGCAAGACCCCATCTCTATAAAAAAATCAAAAAATTAGCCAGGCACAATGCCTGCAGTCCCAGCTACTTGGGAGGCTGAGGTGGGAGGACCACCTGGGCTCAGGAAGTTAAGGCTGTGGTGAGCTGTGATTGAGACTCTGACTCAAAAAGAAAAAAAAATCCGGGCTTGGTGGCTCAGCCTATAATCCCACGCTTTGGGAGGTTGAGGTGGCTCAGCCTGTAATCCCGCGCTTTGGGAGGCTTGCCCAGGCTGGAAGCCCAGTGGCAAACTCACAGTCACTGCAGCCTCGACCTGCTGGGCTCAGATGAACCTTCCACCTCAGCCTTCCAAGTAACTGGAACTATAGGCACGTGCCACCACGCCTGCCTAATTTTTCTGATTTATTGTAGAGAAGAAGTCTTGACAAGTTGCTCAGGCTGGTCTCAAACCCCCGGACTCAGGCACTCCTCTTGCCTCAGCCTCTCAAGGTGCTGGGATTACAGGTGTGAGCCACCATGCCCAGCCGCTTTAGCTTAAATCATGAGAGCTCATCAGAGAGACCTTCTCTGACTGTGGTGACGCAGACCCTGCCCTTCCATTCTTTGTCAGTGCTGTCCTCTGGGTTTCCTTTTACCCTTTACCAGAGTTTCTAATTGCGTTATTTATTTGTCAGATTTTTCTGACTTTTCTATCATACCGCAAGCTCCATGAAGGCGAGAGAGACGCGTATTCCCGGCAGAAACATGCTCATCATCGGTCCAGCATCCAGGACGAAACAGGTGCTCAGGAAATCTTTGCTGAATAAACGGCTCTTGAGCATGGGCCAACAGGGCACCTGGGAAACAAGGTGACTGGGAGCTCACCCCCGCTCTCGGGATGGTCTGCACGACGAACAGCAGAACTAGAAGCAGGGAGAATGTAGTCAGGTGAAGTCCAGCTGGAAGATAGAGGATTTCAGGGCATCGAAACCAGGCCTAATCCCTGTTGGACTTTTGCTACCAACCACCTAGAACCAGGGACAGAACAAGTGGCTTCTCCCGGCCAAGTGACTCAATTAGGCCTGTGCTCTGAGAAGCCACACCATGAGCAGCAGCCGGGACTGAGCACTCACCCCTGCCCGTCCGTTTTACAGGTCCCGTGTGTGACCACGTCCATGCTCACCAAGGGTCCCAGAGATGACCCTACACCTCCTGGCCTAACCTCCAATCTTTGCTTCGGAAGAGAAATTGGGAAGCATTAGGGAAGGAAACATCTGGCTAGCCCCTGGGATTAGCAGGGTGACAGATGTCCCAACCGGTTTGCCCCCACATTTAGAGAGTGGGCAGGCATCCCACAAGGCTCAGAGAAAGCTGGTGCCTCGGACAGCAAGTGGCTGACCTGCTCTGGACTAGAAAGGGAGCAGGCATTAGCAGGAAAAGCTGGAAGGGAACCGCAGGGGGAGAAGGAAGGAAGCCAGTGAGAATCCTGTCTATGAAGAACAAGGGTCTAGAGCTCCGCCACCTCTCTCGGTAGGAGAAGCTTACGCCTCAGTCCAACCTTCTTCCCACAGTGGGGCAAGATGGCAGCCGCCCCTGCTGCTTCTCAAAGGTCAGACAGTGGAAACCCTCCCTTTCATCCTTCTGTCTCAGACTCACCTCTCACCTCAGGAGCCAGAAGGGAAGCTCTGGTGCCCAGCAGCCTCCACAGCTAGATGCTGAATTTACCAAAAGCCCTACCCAGTCCATACCCTGCTTCCCGGTTTCCCTGGATCACCCCCAACCTGCAGGCAAGCTCACCCTGCCCTATCCACATTTTGCTTTTCTTTTTTCTGTAGAGCCAAGGTCTGGCTAGTTGCCCAGGCCAGTCTCAAACTCTTGGCCTCAAGCAATCCTCCTGCCTCTGCCTCCTAAAGAGCTAGGATTACAGGCCACTGTGACTACCTGGCCTCTGTCCACCAGGGAATAATAAAAATGACTCGGCCAGGCTTGGTGGCTCAGCCTGTAATTCCAGCACTTTGGAAGGCCGAGGTGAGTGGATTGCCTGAGCCCGCGGGTGCGAGACCCGCCTGGGCAACTTGACGAGACCTCATCTCTATAACAAATCAAAAAAAAAAAAAAAAGAGCCGGGCGTGGTAGCATGCCCCCTGGAGTTCCAGCTACTTGGAAGGCTGAGGCGGAAGGATCGCCGGAGCCCAGCAGGTCGAGGCTGTGGTGGCCAGGAGCGGCCATTGCACTCCAGTCTGGGTGACAGAGTGAGACTCCAACTCAAAAAAAAAAAAAAAACAAATTAAAATGACTCAACACTCCCGAGCATCCGGAGGACACATTTAGGTCTGAGTCTCACTCTTTCCCCACCAGGCTGCCTAGGTTGGGAGTGATCTCCAAATGAACTCAGAGAGGTGCCCAAGGTCACAACACAGTGGGAAAGTAGCAAAAACAAGAAACAAAACAAGGCAAAAAACTTCTTTCTCCTTCCCAGCAATTTGGCAGATGCTCACGTAATCTTTGTGGAAAGGCTGAAACCTACTGTTTCTTCCTTTCTCTGACCCCGTGGGTAGCTCTGTGTGATGGGGGAAGGGGCGTTTAGGGGACGGGAGGGAAGCCGTTCTCTTCCTAAATGAACCTCTGACCTCCAGAGCTCAGGCTCACTTCCAAAGAAGTTACAGATTGAACTCTGATCCCCCTGGCTGCCCCTGCGTTCGGCGTATTTATCAGAGCATCGCCTCCTTTCCAGAGCCACGGAGAGGAGGTCTAGGCATTTCCTTCTCAAAAGAGCAAAGACCCAAAAAAAAAATAAAATAAAATCCAAACAAACACGGCCCCACTTCCCTCCAAACACACAG